TTTTCAGCACAAAATACCTTACCTTCCCTGCACACAACAGCCAACATTTAGCTGCTGATACACTTCAGAATAACGATATGTATACCCTGCTATAAAAAATAAAGTTTACTTCAGGGGATTGACTTCAAACGTGCAATCTCGAATCTGCTCTCTACATCCGTCTTTACACACTTTGTCATTCACAGCCTTCATAATGTTGTTCAGCACCTCTTATTGTCTGACTAAAGCCTGAGGCCATGTTCTTCAGCTGCAACACACTTTAATGAAACACTAAATGGGTTCAATATATACACCTCGTTACCTCGAGGACCTTCATTGCTGTCAGTTGTTGTTCAGTTCCTCCTGCGTGTGACAACATACAACAAACCAGAAAAATAATAGTAACGAAGAGAAAGCTTAGTGAGCCTGCAGCCTTCTGACTGCTGTAATAGGAGTATTTGTGTGTGTACATATTAAGTGTGTGTGTATTTGTATGTGTGTGTGTGTGTGTGTGTGTGTGTGTGTGTGTGTGTGTGTGTGTGTGTGTGTGTGTGTGTGTGTGTGTGTGTGTGTGTGTGTGTGTGTGGTGTATAGGTTGAATAGAGGATAAAGCGTTCATCCACTAAGGAAGGGAATCCTCATTGTTTGTTTAAAAGCCAGCAGCTTATTGCAGGGCATCATCTTCCCTCACGGAAACTTGGATGAAGCTCCCAATGGTATTTATCTCCCAGCAACACCTGGAGCTTCTCAAGAACAAAACCAGTTCTTATTTCGACTCACACATATTACAGCATGTAAGTCTTATATATCTGACGGTACCTCTCCCATGCCTGATGCATACTTCCGACACCTCAAAGGTCAGGGTACACTGTGCTGTCGTCACAAAGACCTCAACCAATGTTTTCCACATTTTGTGTTGATGCACAAGTAGACTCATGTAACAGCACCTCTGGGAGGCATTACAGGGATATCAGCTTTCAGGCATCTTGGATGTGTCTGGATTTGAGGAATTCCCCTTTTCATTCATACTGATTCACTAAATCTGGATCCAGTTGGATGTGGGTAGTTAAAGCCTCTCATTCTGCATATTTTCAGTGGGCTTTAAATCCGGCTTTGAGCGGGCCTGTCGAAGGACTTAAGAGATCCTGGCTGTCTATAAACTATTGGCAGGTAGCTGTGTGCTTATGGTCTGAGTCATGCGGCTAAACCACGTTTGTCTTATTGTTTATTAAGAGCAGGCTCTCTCCTAGCTTATACATAATATTCTTCATGATGTATAACTATTAGCTGGTTCCTTAATCAATGTTTAGTCTCAGAGCCCCTGAAAAGGTGAAACATTGTATGTTTTTGTGGCTTTAAGCAAAAGAAGATGTTGCCTCTTACTGACTGTCAGACAGACCTGATTTAAGATGTATGAGGCATGATCCCCGGCAGTGTCTATAAATGTGTCAGAGCTGTTATTCATTTTTTTATTGACAATCTGCCCTCTGGCTAATTTTGCTCAGAGCTATTGGAAGTGATGCGGTATTTTTTATTATTTTTTTACAATATCGTAGGAACTGTGCTTGTGAAACCCTTGAGCATTTTTTTGGAAGCCACAGGGAAAAGATAGAGGGACATGTAGTTAACCAAGTGGGAAGAAAATCCTCAAGTTTAAATGCTTTGGTTTTAGGCTTTGTGATAGATCTTCATGTTGGTAATGTGCCAATAAATGTAAAACTGTGCCAACAAAAGCAAAGATGAAGATTTCTGGAATGCAAACTTGAATGTAAATCATGTGAGTTGAGATCTTTCCTAAAATCATCTCCTTAATAGTTTAATTTTGGTGAGAAACAGTGCATGCAAAATAGGCTTTTAATAAACTTGTTTATAAACAACTCCACAGGTTTTACAACTTCCTGACCTCTAGTCCAGTATTTTTCTTGACTTCAATTTCATGATCTGATTTAGTGTAAATAATCCATTACAGCTACTATTTTTAAAACTATAAAACTTTCAACAGCGCAATTAAATATAATTCAGTTTATGGATCTTTTTTTTCTAACCTCAAGCACAAGTCAATAAGAGCCTGCTGACTAAGACATGGTAATGGAAACCCTCTCATTACACAAAGCGTCAGTGATTCAAATCCATCCCAGAGTGCAGCTCTGGATTAAAGTTACAGTCACCTAAAAACAAAACATGCCATGGGGTTATTGAGGCTAGATTTATTTTGCATTGTGAACTATGTCATTCTCTAATGTACAGTTAAAAACATGTAAAATCTTGCACAAAGCTTGTGATATGAGTGCAGCACGTTATTGATCCTGGTATTGACTATATCAACATATTAACCCTGGGCTGCTTCTGTGGTTCCCATAGGAACTGTGCAGGTTATGAGTCTGTACCTCTCCCCTGAAGGAGACAGCTCTGATCAATGAACTGAGGAAGACAAACCAAAGAGGAGGACAACCAGACCTGTGGATTTCCCTTTTAGAGGGAAACCTGTCAAGGTGTATGAAATACTGACCCTAAGATCCCCCCAAAACAACCGTGCTACAGCTAGTGAAGGCTTTTTTATCTATATTTTAAAATGTTTAACAAGCAGTGACCATATACTGCAAATGGCACTCCATGACACTAACATGTCAATTCTGTTTCCGAGAACAGACCAAGATGTTCCTCATGTTTTATGTTGCATCAGTACCAATAAACTGTTCTTTCACAGAACAGCTGCAATGATAATGTTCATGAAGTTGTATAGATTAATGGCACCTTTTATCCTCCAGCTGTCTACTTTAATTGCTCAATGTGTCAACGGTGTGTTTAAATCAGTTAGGTGATGTATAACATAATATGGCAGTGTTGTAGTGTGACCAGCGTGGGAAGCTATTTTAATCAGGTAACAGCAAACAGCTCAAATATACAGAGCCAACAGATAACGTATATACAATAAGTCACCCGCCATCATCAAATAAAGATTGAGCATTTTCTGAAAAGTTCCCACACATCTGGTCATCTTTTACCACTTCCTTCATCAGTAAATGTGTTTTGCCTCCTGAATAATAGATAACATTCAGGGTCACACCTCTGTAATGCACAGAGCAAATACTGCCTCATTTGTTTTTATGCTAAAGCAACTCAAACTCAGAACACAGAAAATAATGAATGTTTCTGATTTGACAAGTTTCTATTTAGTCTATTCACATGCCAAACTTACAATGAGAAAGGGAAGCATTGGGTTTCCAGCATCTGTTTGCAATCTCACCCACAGCGTGCAGTCCCTGCTGATGCCATCAAAGCTTCAAAAACATCATTCTTCAAGATGTTATCAGATGCATGAAAGCGCTTTGAGCAAATGAAGACTTCATGGAAACGCATGTAACACGTGGAGGAATAATGATTGCATGCATCTTGAATACTTGTGCAAGTGAAGGAACAAACGTCAGAACTGTGTCAGTGCTGTAAGCAGCATCAACTAAATATGTGGTTGACTATATTCTCCTCACAGTAAACAATAAGACTTTTTTACCACTACCCGGTGAGCTTCAGGCCACAGAAACTGATGTGAATCGTGAAGCTGCAACTTTTTAGAAACTTGTTAAGTCTGCTGTGGTGCTTTATCACCAATGTATCACATGTATCGGTTACAACCACAATGATGAACATGCTCATTGGCAGACAAGCTAACACAAAAACAGAAATGTCTGCTGAGATGATGCATGAATCACTAACAGCTTAATAACGGGGTCTTGAATTATTCAGAGTAACATACTAGTGAATGCTTGTAACTCTAGATTGTTTGGTAGGGATGGTTAACATATGAATATTGATGAGTACATCTAAAATTAGGGTCGTGAAAGTCCTCCAATCAATTCAGAGAAGAAAAATGTATTTTAGAAGGAAAAGGGAAAGAATTGAGGTAACAAGACTCATGGCAAAGCTGCAAGTTTTCTAATATGAAACGACCCACAACTACAGCTAAATTACATTTGCAAGTGTTGAAGTTGGGATTTTTGTTTCCTGAAGTCTGACTCAGTGTTGAGTGTGCGTAACGTCATCATTTTCATTCCCCAGGGCCCTCTCTTTGACTACTCCTAGCAAATGCAGCTGCATGCACTGTAGGTTAGTCAAACCAAGTCTTACCACAACCCATTCGGATGCAGACGATGAGTAAATGGCAAAGAACGGAGCTTGAGAACCTTTTTACTGATTCCTGTAAACTAACTGATCTTCAGACCACCGCTGTTAACAAGGTTTACCACATGTGAAGGTAAGGATGCCTTTGTAATGCAACGCAGATATTTATTTCCCAAATGTCAGTGACATCAGGCTGATGTTTATGGGCATAGACGGGAAAGCGCAACCTCCTCTAAATGGAGCGTTGCCCTCTGGGAAAGGCACTGTCGGACCAGTCCTCCAGGGTTAGCAGGTTTGGCGCACTCCTCTCCAACAGGGACAGATATGGAGCTTAGTGCATGCACACACAGCCAGCATGCTTTGTGTGAGGAGGGCTGCACTTTAAAAGGCACACCTTTTATTAGTGGAATCTCCAACAGTATTGCAAACACATACCAGAGCAACGGTCGCCATGCCAGCTGAGCTTTCTATGTACATAATGATTAGAGAGTGAGGGGAAGTAGTATACATCATAAATTCTAAAAAAAACTAATCTCCATGCTTGAAACTACCCTTCACTGTCAGCTTTGAGACATACGTCCAGCCAAGGACTCGTGTTAAAGGGGAACAATACCTTCACTCCTTCTTTCTGTTCCCGTTTCAGAAACCTTCTTTGACTCCTCTTGATTTCAATAAATGTCACAATAGGTTGTCCGGTCTTTACTTTTGTCCACTGTACATAACATTCATAGCATGCTGACATATCATGATTCAGAGGTGAAATCTGCAAAAATAATTGCTGGCTAGGATCCACAAAATGTGTTGTAAAAGTCACAGAGAGAGTGAGAGGGAGTGGAAAAACAAAAAATGGATTTCATTCTGTGAGACACACAAACACAAGGGAATGCCAAAAATGAACTCACAGTGAGTGGCAGGGAGCAGATCACGAAGATGACGGTGATAAGTGCCAGCAGCACCAGATGGTCCACCTCTTCTTCCCCCTGTACAAACCATGCCAGGCTCATCCTCCTCCTCCTCCCCGCCGACCCGACCGAGCCACGCCGCATCATCTGGCTCCGGTGCATCTGGCACAGGCTGACAATCACTGAGCCGTTGCACACAAACACTGCACAAATCAGCAGGGCCATGAGAGAAGAGTAGGACAGAGAGAAGGCAAGCACCAAGCTGGACTTTTCATCCCCAGTGGCGTCCATGTCGATGAAGCACCACGTCCCGGGACAGTACTGTCTGAATTTTCCATAGCCGCTGTATGGCAGGAGGCAAAAGGCCAAAGAAAAGAGGTAGATAAAGAAAAGAGTGAATTTGGCAAAGCTGTGGCGGATGTGTACAGAGTAAAAGTAAGGGTGGCTGATGGCCAGGCAGCGCTCCACGGCCATGGTGCACAGGATGAGCGTGGGAGCCAGGCCGAAGAAACTCATGGCAAAGCCAAAGAGGTTGCAAAGGCCCGCACCCCCCAGAGTGATCAGGGACTTGTTGCTGGCGTAGCAGATGAACACAGGTGGGCTGAGGAGGCAGGTGCCCAGCAGGTCAGTGAGGGCCAAGCCCGTCACCAGGATGCAGAAGACAGAGGACCTGGAGCGATGCTCTTTCTGGTGCACCCCCAGGATGAAGAGAGCCAGGAGGTTCCCCACCACGGCAGCCAGAAACATGATGATGCTGGTAACTGGCTTGCCATCCTCATTCACAATGCGAGTGTCATTGCAGGTGGTATTGTTACATGATTCGTTTAAAACCATGCTTATGTTCATGTTTAGCTCTCTGCAATGAAATATCCCTGCTCAGTGTGAAAGTGATAAGGAACTCCCACACAACAAAAGAAGATCATGACGTCTTGATACCATCATTTGGCATCACAGAAGGCAATGTTTTTTCGTAAGAATCATACTGCTGCGTTGACTTAAAACGTGGTCTCTTTTGCTTGCAGAAACTTTTGAAATATCTCTGTGGAAATAAAGAAAAAAGCTGTTAGGAGCTATAGGTGAAATAAAACAGTGGCATGCTGTTAAAGTTTTCCTTCTGAGTAAACTATGTTTCTTGTATAATTCTAAACACTGTTCTATCAGAGTTTTAGTTACTAAAATCGCTCACCTTTCACTGGCTCTGTCGGAAAGATGTACCACTTGAGCGGGTAAAAACGCTGTCAAAGCTACTTCTTCTTTTTGTTCCTCTTCTTCCGCGGATTCAGACAAAAGTGTTTTAAACTCCCTCCGCCGGTAACTTCTCGACAGATACACGCTGAACCTTACGGGACACGGAGAAGGAGTGAACAAGCTTCAGCTGACTTTCTCCGTGTGTGTCTCTTTGTACCTCCCTCTGTTTTCGGATCGATGCATAGTCCCACCCACTGCACCGATGCACCGAAAGACGCTGACAGATACTCTTTAGACTAGAGGGACTTTCTAGCTCTAAAAAAGGGGAAATGTTAAAGAATGCACTTGTTTATGCTGTCTATCAACCATAAACTATTTGTTGACTTGTGTCCTTCCTTGTTCTTAGATAGTGAAGTTTGTGTCCCAAACATATAAGCAGATGCATGAGCACACTCTTATCACCTCCTTATCAGATGTTTTACTCAAGTTTAGACAAAACCTAAAGATGTAACTTTAAGACTGGACTAGTTTTTTTTATTGATGTATTGAGTGAAATAACAAAAATGCAGAGACACAATTAGCTTTTTTCAAACGCCTCAGCTGTATTGGCTTAATTGTTCCCCATGTGAGTTTAAAAATAACTAATCTAGTTAGTCTTTTGTGTAAATATTTGGTTTGGCAGAGCCTCTTCTTGGATTAAAAAGAAAGTGTTTTTATTAGCAGTAATCTCTGCTAGTTTACATTTCATGCAGTCTTTGGAACTCAACCATAAAGGAAGAACCAGTGCTTTAGTTAAATATAAATCAAATCAAATCAAGTTCTATTTATATAGCACATTTTAAAAACGATTTTTGGTCGAGCCAGAGTGCTGTACATGCAATAAAAAACACTTTAGCACACAGAAGACAATAAATTACAACAGCAAATATAAAAATCAAACGCAGGGAAATGTCAGGAGTCGTGCTCCTGACAAATATAAATGCCAAGAAAGAAAATTCTTGATTTTTCTGTTTTATTTAATATCCTGGAGACAGTTTTTGTTGTGCAGCCTTGCATGTTTTGATTTGGCCCTCGCCCGTTGTGAATACTGAATATGCTGTCAAATATTTGAACAACTCGAAGAGTGTTTGACAAAAGTCCAGGAAACAGAGAAATGCTGTTAAGCCTCATTTACCATTACATCTATCATTCAATATTTGACCCCAAGTAGAGGTACTATCAACAACAAAGTGTACATCCTACACAGGTTGCTCTACTCAATGACATATTATAAATTGTATTGGATTTTAATTATTGCTTAGTCCCAGGAGATTGTGACCTCTTCGTTTGTCTAAACACCAAAAATAGATGTTACTAACTGTTCGATTGATCTGATGGACCCATTACAATGATACAATAGCAGCCCAAAGGCGCTTTATTTAATTATTTCTGTCGATAATATTTGATTTAGATTTTGTTCATCATGTAAACCCTACCTGAAGGCCCTGATGCAGTCCACTATGGCACAAAGGTGATTTCACTTATGATCCAAATTAGATCTTCTCAGGACTGTGCCTGATTTCCCTGATGACACAGTGATTTCCAGTATAAATCTTACAGCTTCAACTTTTGCAGGGGTCTAAACAGGTGGAACAGGGGTCTTAGTTTTTAGGCCCAGAACCCATTATTTGAAAGGGAAACGTAGCAAGGACCTACATATAAAGTTAAATATTATACTGCGCTTACAACATTTGGAGGGTGACCTAAATGGCCTTGATAGCCTCCACATGGATACAATACAGAATAATTAAAAATAATAATATACTGTAGCCATAGCTAACTCACAGTCATGAACAGCTACCGCACAGTGATTTAACAAAGGTTATAGCTTCATGAGTAATAGTTATCTGTGTGAATACAATGTTTTTCTTACCCTTTGAGATAGTAAACTGAATTATCTGTAGGTTGATCTATTTGAATGAATTCAACAAAACATAAAGGTTGTATCCAATTGCTGTAATGATATGTTGGTTGATGGATATAAAATGAACACATCACAATTTACAGACATAGGATATGATAATGGTAGTGCTGAGGTGCCATTGCTGCTCTTCATAATGGTATCTTTTCAAGACAACTAAAATAAGATGTAGCAGCAATAACATCAGCACAACCAACAAAATAGGCATGAATACATATTGCTGCATAGTAATTACATTTTATTGCTTAGTTTCACTCTCATTTGCTTCCTGGCGGTTTCTGTAATTGACAGAACAAAGCACCAATTTTCAATTCTGGACGGAGTAATGGAGATCCCATTTCACAGTTTTATACGCTGAAAATGAAGCAGTTACACAGCTGCTAGTGCGTGGTAGGTTGCTGGCACAGATCACTGGGATATTGTTAGACAAAGACATGCAGATATTTGTTTTTAATCTTCTTCTTCGTTTCACTCCATCCCTCCAGCCCTCACTCCCTCTCTGACAAACAAAGCTCTAATTTACTTTTAACTACACAAGGCACCTGGAGGCGTGGATGGCATCCGAGGTGTTTACAGTTGCCCAGCCGATAAAACAAACCAGGCTGCCACCTTTAAATAAACAGCAGACATGAACGTGCAAAACAAACGCAGACATACATGCATACTTTTCCAAAACCAGCAGACGGGTTTGTAAACAAAATCCAAACGAGACACCCAGGTCATGATACATACGTTTTTAATAAGTTCACAATAAGTTCAGCACAGCATCAATTTAGAATAAAAGCTGTTGTCTGGAGCTGTCTCACTATGAGATGGACATGTCTGGTCATTATTAGGCATCGTTTGTTCCTCCAAGTGAATTCCAGAAAACCTTGCTCCTTTCAACTTACTATTAAAGGAATGAGGTGTCTCATGTCAACCTCTGACCTGTCTTGTGCCAGTTCAAGCCTGACCATCTGCTTGTTGGTTGGAATATGACGCAATAATTTGGAAATTCTCCGGAAGAGGACCAGTACCAGTAAGCAAGTGCATTTATCGTACCTCATAATTCACTGAAAGACTGTAGGGTAATCACATGAGACATTTTCTCTTTTTAAAAAACAATATATTTGCAAAACACATGGAGCCCAGGGAGTTTTGGTCTCAGTGGTTTTTCTTGGACTGTTTCAATCCTAATTGAAAGCAGAATTTAAAGTGGTAACACAGACCCAAGGAACTCAAATCCGTTGAGGATATGTCTGATCTAATAATGAAAAAGGTCACATTTGACGTTGTGCATCTGTCATATTTCAAACATGCAGCCAACAATGCATGTATTGTTACAGATCAACAACATGATCAAACTCAGAATAGCAGAGTGTGTGTGTGTGTGTGTGTGTGTGTGTGTGTGTGTGTGTGTGTGTGTGTTTTAGAGAAAGTAAGAGAGAACAAATAAGGAGTTTTTGTCGTTACATATTTCTTTCTTCTGTCAGATTGCCTTCCTTGTCGAGAAATCTCCTCTGTAACAATTACAATGGGTATTCATCAGATGATAGGTATCAAGTCTGCAAGTCATGGAAATGTTAATCACCAATTTATTTAATCAGCCGGCACATGTTTTCAGCTATGCATGTCATGATGTCTGCCTTCCAAGACGTCAGTTCTTCTCTGTGTTTGTTTTTACATTAGGAAAACCAGCGGTGGAAAAAAGGTTTTAAAATCAATAATGGTAAATACTGCTAATGAGCCGATGCGACGCTGAGTGTAAAGACTTAAGCTTGAGATGGTGAAGGAGATGCTGCTGATTTCAACTGTGAGACCACACACACAGCATAATTCTGATGGTAACTGTAAATAATTGTAACTCAAGAAGTCACAGTATAACTAAGTACTTCATATATTCCACACTAAATGTTTCACACCTGGTTGACCTCTCCAGCCAGCACACCTGCTTCTGATAAATGACTAGTTAAGAACTTAATCCCAATATGAAAGCTTATTAGATTTGCATAGTACTTTTCAATATACATTAAAAGATGTTTGTTGTGCAGTAAAAACTTGATTTGTATTTGTGTATTGGCTCCCCCGCTGTTTGTACTTTCAAAATAAACCACTAATTTGTAATGGAATCAGGTAAACATTGGAGACCTTGCTACACTGTGATGTCTGTCCCATCCTGCTCATGTCTACATAACACATTTGACTTTGATCACATCCCCAAATATGACATGACTTTTTCATATAAAAAATGATGTATTTATTTACCATAAATTAAACTGTTTTTATTAGCAGAACATATTTTCATAGTTGCTTACTGTTACTAAGATGTGTGTCCTACAATAACAAGCTTGTCATTCTGTAAACTGAATTTTGTGGTTTAATTTGAGGCAAAATAGTAAAAAAAAGGCAAGTGTAATTATTTTGTTTACCCATACATGGTCAAATATGTGCTGAAAGACATTTGACAGGCGTAAAGAAACACACCCACATATATGGCACAGTGGAAATGTACACAGAAACAATACAACAATAATGATCAAGGCCTGCATTGGTTTACCTTGTTTGATGTAATTCAGAACATAATGGAATTTAAATATGTTTTCTCTGTTAATAGACGTTGTTTGTTTTAGCAGCTTTTCCTGCTGTCTCTGTCTAAACAGGCTTTAGAGACTGCATTTCCCACATAACAAATGCAAAGTATGATACTAAACTCAGTCGACAACATAATTTTAAACTTTCAAAAGCTTTCTCTTTGCAGTACACACCCAAACCAAAATGTGTATATTTAAGGGATGTTAAATCAAGTCAACTATTGCTTCTGCAACCTAGACAAGCACAGCCACTTAAAGAATCAATCAATGTTTATTTATATAATATCACAAATGTTACATTTGTCTCAGTGGACTTCACAGTTTGTACAGAATATCAGTATGAGAAAACGACACCCTCTGTCCTTAGACCCTCACATCGTACAAGGAAAAACTTCCAGAGAAAACCCCACAGTTTAAAGGGAAAAATGCGAGAAACCTCAGGAGAGCAACAGAGGAGGAATCCCTCTCCCAGGACGGACAGACGTGCAATAGATGCAGTGTGTAAATCGAAAAGATAATACATTTTACAGCATAGGTAGACCAAATGTTTGGAAATGCATGTGTCTATAATAAGAAGATGAATCCACAAGGATGTCAACAATCCTGTGGGAGCCATCAGGGNTATATATAGGAAG